AACATCTTTCCAAAAGGAACATATTAGTTTGCATTCCCACCAGCAGTACAAAAGTGTTCCCTTTTCTCCACATCCACGCCAACATCTCTGGTTTTGGGATTTTGTGATGTGGGCTAATCTTACGGGGGTTAGATGATATCTCAAGGTGGTTTTGATTTGCATTTCTCTAATGATTAAGGACTTACAAGGTATTTTTAAAGCCTCCTGTCACTTATCCTTCCCTCAGGTCAGGGAAGAGCTGCTATTGCCTGGTCTTTGGGCAATAGCTGTCTGGTTCTTGGACTGAGGCTCGTGACCATAGACCAGGGTAATTTGTTCATCATGTGTCTGCACAGATTGAGGGTCCTGTGTGTGTCCTCCTTGTCACCATAGGAAGGACTACACTGTCCTCTCCTGCAAGGGTGGCAAGGTGTGTTTTTATTAAAACCAGTCAGATTCTCTGGATCCCTCACCTGTCCTGCACCTCTCTTTTTGAGACTTTCTGCACATCATGGGGCCTGTTGAGTTGTCTTGGAAAAAGTTTCTCCCTCTGCTTTATGTGGAAGCACATCCATTCTCCAAAAGCCCATCACAGTTTAAACATGTTCCCATGAGAACAGTGACTTCCAGCAGTCTGCCTACCCCTTTTCCTGTTTTATGGAAGTCCTTCTTGGAATGAAGCTGCCCTCCACCTGTTGAAGGGCTTGATCCCAGCTGTTGACAAGCAGGATTTATAGCTGATAAGTAAAGGACTTGTCCAGGTGACAGGAATTCTAGGCCTCTCTTCCCAGCTGCCTTGGGTTGAGGGTCCTGATGACGGCTCTGCAGCTGCTGATGCTACATATAGTCCCGGGGTTGGTGCCTTCTGTGTCTGAGCTGGGAGCTCTTGCTCCACCCTGGAGCCCACTGTGGGTTTAGAGCGAACTCCTTCCAATGATGCTGTAATTCTCTAGTTGGGAATCCTCAGGTTAGTCTGCCACTGTTATTCTACAAAAGTCTATTGCTTGTTGTGACCTCTGACATGACTTATTTTCAGAAGGGGAGATGCTCTAAGCCTTGGTAGCAGTGTTTTCAATCAACCTTGGAAAATAAAAGATGGTTCTGTTAGTTATCAAAATAATTATAGGAAAGTACTTGGAATAGTTTAGTGAGTTTTTAATTTTTCCTTAGCCCCAGAGGGAAATCTTACCTGGAATCAGCAGTGGGGCCTCACTGAGAGGAGAGGGTGCTAAGGGGGTTACTGAAGAGCCTGCCTGGACCTGGCCTGCTCTTGGCAAGGCCACTTGCAAACCCACAGATGAGATGATTGCTGGGGCCTCTTGAAGCTGCAGCCCAGGAGTGAGTTTCTAAGACATCTCCAACATAATAGGAAGTAAAGGACTTTCCTGGTCACTGGTGTGGTTTGATTTGCTGACATGCTGTTTTTGAAGGATAGTAACCACATAATTCTAAACCATAGCTACTT